GTACGTGTGTCTGCGGAAAAAAAGGCACGTAGAACATAAGGAGAGAACACAATACCGTCGCCGTTTAAATAAGAGGACATAGTTAAATTTATCGGAAATACTTATTATCGCTATAACAACTCGTTATTAACGTTTCGCGGTGCGTAACCCGAGGGTGGGAAGGGATGAAGTATATATGATCACGTGAGTGTGTGTGTATATTTAGTTTCAATATTTGCCTAAGTATATTTTACGATATACATATACATATATATAGACGAGAGAGGAAAGAGAGACACGGGGCCTCGCGTGCGCGCGTTTACTCGGATGTAACTCCGCGAAGACGCGTACCTTTTTCTCGCCCTGTTATGCGGCGCACGCTCGAAATCACTTCACATCTTTTAACGTACCGCGAGCGAATTTATGCGCGCATCCACTTTGGCGCCTACGTGCATACTGCGGGCACAGAAATACGAATACGTATTCAAGAAATCTCAGGCAGTTTCCGCTGCAGTCCGGACAGGTACATATTACTCTGTTGTAAAATTTAAACGACACTAAGACAGCGTGTGGATAAGGTCGATGGGGCGTCAAAAATTCGTGAGGGATAAGAATCGTGGGAATACCAGCGGGAATAAGTCGAAATTAAATCAGAAATTTCGGACTTTGCTAACATATAATGACATTTTTGCATTTTTATTCGAAAAATTTCGAAACTCTGATAGCAGTCAGAGATTAATTTAATTTTGGAGTAATATACAAAAATATATATTTTTAGCTATTTTACAAGAAATCGAATAAATTCGAAAATATAAAAAAAGACAGAATAATGATATATAAATAATTTTATATAATTATAAAAATGTTGAATATTTGAGAAATCAAGTATAGCATAGTTTATTCTGTCTAGATGTTAAATCAAATTATTGCATACGTTTATATTTTAAAATAATCGCGAGCTTCGATAAACACGATCAATATATCTTTCATCGAAATAGCAAGTACGTTTCGAAGCGAGATAAACTTCTCTATGATGCGAATAATACTCGAGATAAAGTGAATATGAAGACAATTTCACCGAAATCGTCCAAGAATATAACCCTTTTTACGCGTATTGGCGTAGTTTCGTTTCGAAATTGCGATAATTTTTTTTTTTGCTAAAGAAATGCACGTAATTTACCGAATGACAGCACGAAATATGCAGCCTCTATACGGCAATGATATAAGTAGTAGAGAATTAAAATTGCAATTCGGACTGCGTGCACGTGTACACGTATCTGCTCTCGTCCCGTTAATTAATATTGTAGCCTCTGTCGCCGCATTTAAATTGAACACGCCTCTTTCGCAAGGAACGATTACAAAGTCAGATGCACCGTCTTATCAGGCCGTATATTCGCCGATAAGCATCACACACGATTGGCATCGCGCGCTCGAATTCGATGAAATGGAAATAATTGCTGTTATAACGATCCAAAGAAGTCTCGAAATTAAATATCGATATTAATTATAACGATGCAAACAGGGCACGGTGCACTTGTTGTTTTAAAACCGGCCCCGAATATATTTTTCACACATCGCATTTAGATCGATATTACGAGAGTGCGTGTTGTATCCGGGTGTATAAGTTTTTCTTTTACCTTCGAGTTACTACACACTCCGAGTCGATTAAATCGATCGTTTATCGCGAGATCGGGGATGTACACGTTTAAGCGATAGCTTTGGATTAAACGGTTAGAACGGAAGGCGAAGATATCTTTGAGTAAAATCTCACATTTTAGTTACAATATCTGTAGTAATAATAATTACTTGAATTCTATTTATTCTGCGTTTATGATGTGATAAATATATAATTATTAAAGTCCAAAAAGTTAATGTCCTTCCACGTTCTTACGAACCGTACAGTTCCTTTTTTCTTGGATATACAAACACATGGGTGCTGTGTCTTTAAACAGCTTTAAAACTTGTTCTCGTTATCGTTGATCGATTGCTATTAATAATAAGGTCAAATTTTTCTTGTCGCTGTTATCAATACCACTCAATTCATTAAATCATTTTTAAGTTCTTTTTTTATTTTATCGTATCAAACACGTCGCGAGTTACGATGAAGCCTTTTAATTCCTCTGGCGCAAGAAAGGCGCTCAAATTGCATCGTCCATCATTTTTATCGGAATGCGGAATGTTTTCCGTGGAGGCGCGAGATGGGAAACCTGTCGTGCGCTCTTCTGTGCACGAAGATGAGAGCGGAGGGATCGTAAATCGAGATGGCTGCTTCTAGGTGAATGAGGTATATGACAGCATAGGTAAGAGAGTGGTGCAACGAAAAAACAATTTTGATGGCCTAAGCTACTTATTTTCAGTCTTCTACTAATTTATTTTTTCGATTTTTTACGAATTTATTCTTCTACTAATTTTTGTAATTATTTGAAAGAAATTCGCATAATAAAAAAATTGTTAAATTATACCAAAAAATTTACATATATACATATATGTATTATATCTTTGTAATTTTATTATTAATTTGGTAAAGTGTAATATTATATTCGGACAATCCTTTAACAGGAATAAAGTAGGTATACAAAAATAATTACTGTAAATATAATACTATGTATAAAATAACATTGTTTTTAAAAAATTGCAACAGTGCAAGGATGCATGCATTAAAAAGCACATAAAACTTACGAATCTGTAGACGGATGAGCTTTTCTTCAGCAATTCTGAAATTATAAATGAATATAATTAATATCAAGAATTTTCCAAGCAATTTGTAATTAAGGCACAGTAATATATATTTGTGCAAGTATAAGTTTATATAATCAGAGTGAACGTAATGTAGTACTAATTTCTCTAGAGAGAGACTGTCTTGCTGACATTCGCGATGACTCTTACAAGTACGGTAATCGTCGGCGATCGAGGACGATAAATCAGCCACGACAAATGAGAATACACCTGTGGCGACATTTTCTTTATGCTAATTCTTCAAGTAAATCGCGCGCATTTGCCATGATCCATCATCGGCAAAGCGCACTACGGACAATATTGCGACAAGACGATAGAACGTGGGAGAACTCTGGTAGGGAAGAATGTGTAATTGTTTTGAAAGAGAACTGAGCTTCGTCGTCGTCTTTCGTGTGGGATGTGTGAAAGGCGGCCTAGCCTGCCGACATCGAGCATAAACGATGAGGACAGGTTTCGTTTCTTTCGCCGTCCACGTATCCGCCATGTCGACCTCTCTTCTAATGCGGTTTTGAGCGCAGAAACCGCTGGTCCGATAATGGATCGAACGAGCAATGCACATAATTTTCAATTTATTTTCAAGTTAAACTTCGAGTCGACGATAAAAGCGAATATATTTATTATGTTTCAAGCGTCTTACGTTTAATAGTAAAATGTTGACAATTTGTGGAAACCTAATATCTTCTTTCATCTTCTAATAAAATAAGTCATAACGCATTTTTGATAAATATAACAAAATATATCTTTATGCTGAGAAAAGAAGTCTTTAATTTCTCTTATAAAAATTTTACATTTAATGTGATGAAGATACAAGTTTTTGAAATTCAAAATGGTTGGCAACAGATAACATTGAATTGAATTGAACGTAGTTGGCATACTTCTTATTACTAGTCGAGAAATTCCAACGAGAATTTTCCTCGGAGACGTTCTTGAAAACTGTATGGAAACCTCCGAGGTCAAAAACGGAAAAGATAGATTCTCTCGTTAAAATTTCCGACGCATTCCTCGCAACTCACTCGAAATCGAGGAAACTTCACATCGTGTGTTTCAGTAATTTTCAAATCCTTGCCGAAATTACGGAGGTACTTCAGAAGGAATTTTCTATCGCGCCAGCATTCACCTCCGTCGATGTATTTCGCTACGCTGGAGCCATTCGAAATTTTGAAACAAGATGTATCCATTCGCGAGAGGCAGTCGAGTGGAGGCATCAACAATAGGGATTATCAGCATTGGCTGAGCCGACTTCAGGTTGATATTGGTCTCTCGAGCCCCCCGACATATTGTAATCACGCGGATATATTGTACTCGTGCAATGCACGTTCGTCTACCCTCTGCACATCTCTCTCCTCATGCTATTCTATTCACCGATCTTTCCCTCCCCCTCCCTCTTCTACCCCGCAGGCACCCTCTTCCGATCTCTTTCTTCGCGTTCGTCCATTTCCCCCGGCCTCTACCCGGCACGATCAATGCTCTCCTATCCTACCGATAACTCGATAATATTACACGCGAAAACCGCTTCCGACGTGCTCGCCCAGTCAGCGAGCCACTTGTGCGAGCAAATAACCAGTTATCGGAAAACCGATTTTATTTTCAAGGAGGAGCGCGGTGGTTCCGATTTTTTCCTTTTTTTTTTATTCATCCACGCTACTCGACTCACCTCCTCCTTCTTCTATCTCTCGCTCTCTGGTCTTTCTTTATTTTATTTTATTTTTTTTTTGTATTTTAGTTTTGCTCTATACCGTGAACAGTGGAGGACAAGATTGGCACGATTAAAGTTGAATGAATGCAATTCTCTTTTTAAATGAAACTGTATGATATTTTTTTGTTAATTCTTTCAACTTTAAACCATAGTTTAAATCCTAAATGCGAACAAAAAATATTTGAATATTTCTCCGCAGCTATAATAAAATATTTTTTATGCCTGTGATAATGCATTTAAATATAATAATAGAACATTAGTGGCAGAATTGGAAATAATTTATTATTATTTGAAATAATTGTTTAATTTTGAAATTTTATATTTCAAGCAATATATACAGAATAATTTTAATGCATATATAACTGTGATTATATATTATTTACTTTTAAATTGATACGCACTTGATATGCAAAGAAATGTATCGTTTTGAGAATATATTATTGCATAGTTATAAAAAAGATAAAATTTAAATAAATTTATATTTATAAGTACTTATTTATATAGAAATTGTAGCGTCATATGTGTGGATTTGCAATTTTTCTGTGGACATGTACACATATATACATGTATGTATTTCTATATGTTTCAGATTCTGAAAGACTCCATGATAGAAAGAAACCAGCAACTCTCTGAATTGAAGAATCTTTTCGGCTATTTAGAAGAACATCGTTCCCTAAAAGATTACGACGGCTCGAAGACATCACGGTGAGTTTGCATGATATTTTTCATATAATATAAATGGAAAATTTATATATATGTATATATCTCTTATTGTTAATTGTATAATATATTGATAACTTAAATAACATCGATCATTAAATTTTTGTTAAATTAATACTTTATAATGCTTATTATTATATAATAATTATGTATAATTATTTTATTTTACGATAATTTTGTAGTGAAATATTTTGATAAATATTTTACTATCAAATATGACCAGTTAAAAATTATTATAAAATAAAATAATTATAATAAGAAGCATTTAAACACTTTTTAGAGCAATCTTTAATTATTTTAACAATTTAAACATTAATCTTTCATTTTATGCTGATAGACTTGTAAATATTATTACAAACAAAAATTTATAAAAAGTATAATTATTAACATAATATATTTTTAATTTTAAAATCGATGTTTACGATATAATTCTCAATAATACTCGAGAAAAAATAATTATTTTATAATTATAATATTTCGAGATTATATATAACAAGTTAAATCCAAAATTGCTGATATTATCACCTGCTTTATTTAATATCAATTAATTGCGCTCATGTATCGCTATCAAGGCAGACTCATCTCTGTTATAAAAGATATCATAAATCTATTTCCGGCAACGGTATAATCTCTATTATGCGCGAAATGCAATTGATAATCTGGAGATTGAAAGTACAGGAGATTTAAACGTGTCTGACATTTACGTCAAATGTAGATCGTTGATAAAGCTGTTGACGGTAAAAAGTCATTTAAAAAATCGCGATTCAAATTATATGATTCCTATCATGTTAATTCTAATATTTCGCTTCCTCATATTTCGTAACGTAGCTGTACAGATGTTTTAAGCAGGGTTTCCACATTTTGATTACAACATTCCACTTATTTCAATTTAAATCATGTACAGATGTCGTTAAATTAATTACAATAAAATTCAAATTAAATCATCAAAATTTGATTTATTTATATGTACGAGTGCAGTTAAATTACTTTAGTAAAAATAAAAGATTCTAAATTGATATAAAATATACTATATTATTTGCAATTTGTATTGTGTCTTTATTACACAGTGGAAATTCTCCTTAAACATACATATTGACTTAATCTGGCTTGATTATTTCTGTGTCATGCGAAAGTTATAACTACAAATAGGTTTATTACTATATATCGCCTGGAATGTCTTTACTCACACAATACCGCTTATAATCTGCAAGATTGTATGATAAGAACAATAGAGTTATAAAGCTGTCAAACTGGAATTTACAATAAGATATAATGCAATAAATGCATTTATATGAAAATGCATTTTTGCACATCGCATTTTTTTTTAGATTATTTAATTTATTATATATATTAAAATTCTATATGAATTCTTCGCTGCCAGTATAAGTCTCGAAAACGTAAATACACGTGTGTTTTATCTGCGTGCAGCAGATTTTTAAAACGATCTCAAAAATGTATAAATATGTGTAAAATACAAAATGCATTTCATAGAAATCTCTAAACACTTAAGCATTACGATAGTAATATCTTTACACGATTATCTACACGACAAAATTCTCCGATTCTCTGTTGACTCAGCTATTTTGAAAGATATAAATATCTTCTCGAATAAATTATTTTGCCCAGTAACCGTTGACTTTTGCAACACAAGTATGCAATAAAAATTCTTCGCCGGGTCATGCAATTTAAATGCACGCGTATGCGTAAACGTCCTCGTCATTGATAACGTTTTCGACGTCAGCCACGTTGTCTCGTCTCTTTTTCTCTCTCCAGTCCATTCCCCTATATCTCGTTCTCGCTCGAATGTTCGCATAAATCCCTTTATGAGCGTCGTGTCACGAATTCACGGCTTGTCGCCGATTTTATTGCATGGCGGATTGTAGTCGCGGCTTTTACGCCTCCTGGATAAAAATATCGAAACTTCCGGCATTCCGTCTGAAAGAGCGATGCGCGAGGGAGAGGCCCCTGAGAAGAGAGTGCGCAAGGTGCATAACGTACGGCGTGTCGAACGCGCGGTGTGCGCGCCAGACGCATAGATGCGGTATAAATGCATATCTCCGTAACGTACAGACCGTTTCGAATTTAGCCTGCCGAAGTGCATGACGATGTTCTTTTAACGGGTTGAGTGGCTCTACGATGCGTGTCGTAAAGTCGATACTGTGTTTCCGTTTTACGGGTACGAACTTGCTTACGCGACTTTATGGATGTCTCGATTTCTTTTCGTATAATTTTCTGTGTATTCGGAATTTTATTAGTAGATATACTGTATAAACAGGCAAAACAAAGTTCGAAAGAGAAATTTAACGCAGGTGGCAAAAAACGATTTGTAGATTATGAAATATATAGTATTTGTAGAATAGAGATATATTTTTTGAAAAATAATATTTAATTATACTATGAAACTTTCTTTAATTAATGGCTATTAAATGAATATTATAGATAAGTATTTATTTTCCCAGTCTGTAAAAATTCGTAGAAAGTGTATCGGTTTGACTTATCGCGACTGTATATAAGAGCGCAAATTAATCATTTATTATCGTTGATTTTCACGACGATTTTATTATGAAAAAAAAAAAAAAATGAAATTTTTCTCTTTTTTTATACGTGCGCTTTAATATTAGACGAGGCGATAAATATAGAAACCTGCGTGACTTGAAGCCATATCTCGATGCGGTGATAATTGTCGCGGATTATAGTCCTCTAGATCAGCCGTACGTCTTTACGTTCTCTGCCTTAGTTTGCCCCTTTCGCACTTATCGCCGAACAAATGGCGTCTCTTTCCTTTCTCTCGACAATCGCGTGATCGTTTGGCGTAAATAACAATTAAACGAAACTCCGGGTACATTAAATTGAACTCGCCCTCATTTCCTGTTCACTTTTCCTATTTTTGGCCACCGGTGAATTAACCGTGGTCATCATAAATTTCACTTTATTCATGGTATAATGATCGATAATTAGCTGATAAACCACCAGTTCGTGAGAATTTTGTCTGGTCTTATTTCCGTCATTTTCTCTGTCAGTTTTTTTAGAGATGCCCATTTCTATATATTTACAGCATCTTTGTTATCTCGTCTAAATGATATCAAATTGATAGTAATCCTAATATATAATCAAATAATAATTATTATTAATTCAAAAATTAATCACAGTTTTCAGAAAGAGTATAATAATATTGGCGAACAACACGCGATATGAAAATTGTATTAAATACGTGATTGATTATCTTAAATGTGCCAATTCGTATTTTGATAATAAATCTTGCATCGCAATATCCGACAATGCAGATAATCGGCGCGGAGCGATAAATTCCTTCCGAATCGGATGCAGGTGTATTACAGGTGCAATACCTGTCGTCGGGTATAACTGCGCACATGGAGCAGGTGATTGCCGACGGAATTATTCCTTTGTGATCTAGAATTGATCTTGATGAACTACCCTTGACGTAATACACATTGGCGTCAAAGTTCGATGCTCCTCTTCATTACACATGTTTACAGATATCATATCGTTATCATTTTATTCCGAGTATTTTATTTCGCGCGCCGACGTGGCACAAATCTTACACGTGTTATGCCGACGTATGTATATTAATCGCTAAAGTTCATAAACGATCGAAGCGATTGTTTTATCTTCGACGAAAAATGCTGATTTATTTTGAGTAGAAAAACAGATATAGGAAAATTGCATAATGTACATAATATCTTTCTCCATCGAAAAGTATTTATATTAATGATTTTCACACATCGTTGGTTATAAACACTTGAAAAGTAACACGTGCATGAAAAGACACATGCATATATGCATAATTTGGAATATCCGGAATGATGTGCATATATATATACATGTGTTTTTTTTACTCATCTCCGTTATTCAATTTTCACTCGCATTCTTCCATTCTCTTTCCAATTCTCGTAATATGATTATGCAATTTTCTCATCTTTCTCACACATTGGAGATACGCGAGTACACACAGGTGTAAGACGCGAATGTAACGGATTCCAGCTGCAATATAACCGACAATTAACTCCTAATTAAGAATCCGTATCGCTCTTTATCGTTGATCGTTCTAGTATACAAAGCGACCCGACAGACCGCAGTAGAATTTATTCACATCCGCTGAGGCTTAGCATTAGGTGCGATGTTATTGCGGGACCATAGTTTGCCGCGGTGTGATAAAAATCAAATTCCATTTCCTCGCGCCGAAGTCCTTTGAGGTGAAAACGATTTCCATCGCGGAGGAAATGAGCGTGTGTGTTACCGTTCTTTACCTGGGAGATTAATTTTAGCGAATATACACACAGACGGACGGGAGATGCCTCTCTCTCTCTCTCTCTCTCTCTCTCGTCCGTTGTATTGTACGTACAAATCCGTTGCCCGTGAAACAATCATTATTCCCGGCAGATCGTCTGCGTTATTGAGCAAGAACGGGACTTCCGTCGGGGAATCAGATACCCGCTTGCATGTGCAACGCGGCCAAAAGAGATGCGCATACCTAGGAATCCACCTATCCTGCTCGCGTACCCATACCTGCCTGTACCTATCCTACCTGCGATTCTCCGCGTGCATCCGTGTAGGAAGCGTCTGTGCACAGATTACAAAGTGGATATTGGCTGCACGAGCTGCATTCTCTATGATCTGTGCCGTAGCGCAGATGGACCAGGTTTAAGGGTATCTCCACAACGGCGATTTTTCACTCGAGAGCCAGTAGAAAATTTCACGCGAAAAGTGCGCGACTATCGAAGTAGCAAAATAATAATCCTTCGCAAAATTCCAAAATTATTCTTCTATGTCTATTTCTCTCACTTCTTCAGTTGTGTGTTTCAATTTTAATCAAATTAAAAAAATGGTAATAATTCAATCGACCAATTCTGGCAAATAAGTAAATTTATTGAATTTTCACAACGTTTCGGCCCTTATCAAGTGCTATGTTCTTAAATTAAAGTAAATCACAACTTTTTTTAAAAAACAAAAATTCGATCTTAGAA